CCATTGAATTGCATTTTAATTTCATTGATTATTAAAATTGTAATTGAAACTCCGTGTTCTCGACTTGTGTAGTTCATTTATCTGAAATTGATTACATTTATAGTATACACTAGTCGCTCGTGAAGCTAACTATTACTTTATTCTCTTTTCTCGCAGATGCGCGCGCGTGTGCGTGATCCTTTGTATGATTGTAAGAAACATAATTAAAATCGTTTGAAGAAATATAGTCATATAATGGCAGATGCATTAAAAGGCGTTTTACAATACAATGTTAAAAAAAAAATTAAAAATTCAAGGGGTCGACGTCCGACTTTGTCCGCAATGTAATGGAATGATGAAAGAAATAAATTAAATCTCGACGTGAAATTCTCCTCCTCCTCCTCCAATTGCTGTATCCCCCCCCCCCCCCCCCCCCACCCCCACCCCCTTACTCCCTTCCCCGCTTACCATATTCCCCCTTCCCACCTTACCCCTACCACCATACCACCTCAGAACCCGCCCCATGCCAATAGGATTATTGTCGTTGAAATTCTTCAAGGAAGTGCGAAACCGATATATAGACGATACGACGAGACTGCTAAATAATAAGCTCGGACTCTGCGATTGTGCTTATGACTTTAGCGTGAATATACATTTTACGTTGTTCCTTGGAGATGACAAGAAGATAAATGCTAACACATTATATGAAAAGTTTAATGCAAGGGGCATTAGCGCGTGCTTGACTTTATCTTGAAAACAAATCAAATCAGATGTTCTTTATCATAAAAGTAAATTTATTCCTCTTGATTTTGTTGCACGTAACACGGAGTTGCGATGTTACTCGATATGTTTCCACTAGGAGGCCATTCGGATCAATTATGATGAATGACGGTTGATTAATCCAAAAAGAAAAAAAAAAGAAAAAAAAAAAACAAACATAATCAAGTAAACAACAACAACAAAAAAAGAAAAAGAAAAAATAGATAATGAAATTTTAGTTACACGTTCTTAATAGTAAATTACAATTCCAACAATGTAAACTACAACGTTTATTACTACAATGTACAATGTAAAACAACAATATAGTGTACAATACGAGCTATAGCGTAGAAATATCACCGCACAATGCACAATTGTACTATTGATTTAACTCAATTTGTAAATACAATGCATTTTTCAACAATGCCTGCAAATATCAGCAAGTTGAAACAATAGATTTTTAATTAATATACGGAAGTAGCTTTAATTAAGCGAATCAATGAGCGAGGAGCGTGTATAGGTTGTATTTTCGACAGATTGCCCAACATTTTCACAGGCCACTGAGCGAATTTGGCAATTAACGGGAGGAAGAACATTGATATTCCCTCGGAGAACGAGCGAATCTTAAATTCACTAACAAAACCACTAACGTTCAATGTGTTTTTCAGAAAAATGTTAATTTTAATAATCAAGGATAAATGCCTTATAAAGAGCTCGTGGTGAAAATGTCAACGAGGTATCCCATTAGCAGATGAACTATGGGAACTGAGTACAGCGAGGATCTGAGGATCTTAAGCTTAAATTACAGAGAAATTGAAGGTGTCCCATGGCAATTAGAATATTATTAAGCACTGGCCAATGGAGCTCCTTGGCAACCTCGTCTCCTCCAAGTCCCCGGGCGACCACGGCAAAAAGGACATTCGCGCTCTGAGCCTAAAATTGTTTAAACTCCCGCAGGTCATCATAATCTTCTCGCCGCGCACGAGGGTTTACCTGCTGAGGCTGAGGTTTCGACTGGTGCGCCGCGAGGCCGTGGATACGATCGTACGATGCAGCAAAGTCGGCGACTGGTTCCTCCTCTACATGCTCGGGGAGAACCTCGACACCGTCATCTACAGGGACGTGATGCACGAGCTGGCCAATCGGCTGGCCTCCAGGCATCATCATAGCGTACCCGGCGTCAAGGGCGAACTACAGGAAGCCTGATAATGGTAAGGACGCGCGGCTAATCGGGCTTACGAGCCTCGGCTGGCCATGCTTTTTCCCCTTTTGGTAGATCGCCCCGTCCGTACAAAGAACCCCGCGTGAGCGTAATTTTCCAACATCCCCGCGCTATCCTCAAATCCTTAATGACTCAATAAAACTTTTGTAGCCGAGCTCCCGACTCGCGCGACTTTCCGTGGATCCACATCATGCGCAAAGACACGTTTTTTCTTTCTTTCTTTCTTTTTTCTATTTTTTTTTTTTTTTTTTTTTTTTTTTTTTTTTTTTTTTTTTTTAATGATTTCCAATATAAGCGTTACTATTTCTTTTGGTTTCGATTTTTCTGTTTTTTACTCATGCAGACAGGCACTTGACAGCGCATTGTCCGTAATTGATCCAACATCGCGCGTCCCGACATTATTATCATTTCGCAAAACCGAGCATATAAATTCTAATGTAGATTTGCGCAAAGTGTATTTAAATAAGGGCTAATGAGATTTAGCGACGTACAGCAATAACAATGATAAATAAATAAATACAAGGGATATTGGAGTCGGGCGACATTGCGCTATGTCACCGAATGGGCATTAGACCATCGATGACTCGCGAGTGATTAATAAAAGTTTGTTGACCTGGAAAATTACTTTACCATTCTAATTACTTTAACCATTTTGCGGTAAGTTTAGTTAAGCATGTGTTGTATATCACTCGGTACATATCAATTTGAAGACGAATTATCGAATCGCTGGAATCCCTGCCATTCGCATTCTTCTCCAAGCGCGTACGTTCCAGCATCGCGTCGCAAAAAAAAAAAAACAAAAAAAAAAAAAAAAAAAAAAAAAAATGAAATGACAACAGCAAAGTCCACGACGAGAGCCACCCGGCAAAAGTTGTCCAAGTCGCTTAAAAATCCCGTCGATTGGCCGATCGTTGACCTCCGGGAAAACACGTCATGCAGCAGAACGACAAACTCGACGATCGAGCCACTGGACCGCGTCTAATTTCCTGAGAAAGCGAGCCGACGAAAATCCAACGCTGCCAAAAATAAACGGCAAGGACGAGGCTTCGCTCATCATAGTCGCTCTTTATCCTTCGGCGTCGTTGCATATTTACGCGCGCCCTTCTTGCCCCGAGCACGTTGAATAAATGTCCCCCGGTGCAACGGCCGTTCCCCCGTTGTCTTTGCATTGGAAATTAGGATGGGCAGAGCCGCTCGTGAGTTTATTTATTAATTGCCTTTTATTCCAGCGACGGGAGCGCCTCTTTTCCTCTCATCTTTTCTTCTCTCCCTGTCTTCGACATAACGGAATTCGAAAGATATATTGAGTAATCGCTAATGAATGCACGCTAAGAGCCAACCAACCTCTTCCCACTGTTTATACGTGCGCGCTTTTTGCGATATTTTTAGTGAAACGCGTCGAGGATCAAAGTTCCCTCAATAGTACCAGGCAAATAAATCACGAGGCTTGTTTTCACCGATATTCACAAGTTTTTTGTTAAGACGAACAAAAGCTGATCGAATATCTTAATAAAAATAAAAATAAAAACAAAACAAAAACAAAAAAAAAAAAACAAAACAAAAAACAAAAAAAACAAAAACAAAAATAATAACAAAAAAAAACTATAATTTATAAAAGTACCATTATTTTATTTAATAAAAATACCAAACACACTTACTTTAGTACGTTTCAAAGAAAACAAAATTAATTCAGCGCACTTTTGTGATAAGTTGACGTATTAAATGTTATTCCGCAAAAGAAACTAAAAATTTCACTTTGTCCATTTAATCGCTGATGATTGATCAACGAAGCCACATAATCGCCCAAACATTTTCTCAAAATCGATAATTAAAACAACAACGACAAGGACGACGACAAGAGAAGATGGAGAACCAGTGACTATGACAACAACGACGATAACCATTATAATGGTAACTAAAGATCTCTCGTAATGAAAGTGAAAGTTTATTTTTATTCAAGTTTATTTGAGTAACTGTATAAAAGGGAAAATACCGAGCGAAAGGCTCGTAAAATGGTAGAGGATGATAAAGAAAGGAACGAGTCCCGACTCGCTTTGCAATTGCATTATCGAACGCACTTTTAATCACCGTTTAAGCGTTTGCTCCAACTTTTCGGTACGAGTTACGTAGTTTGCCACATTGATAAATGTACTTGTTTCCTTTACGGGTACTCGAGAAAATTGTTTTTCACGTTGAGTGTGAATACCTGTTTGCTCGATTCTCTCATTTATTCCTTTTTACAACACTTCAATGGAACACGTTCGTGTTTTTCACAAGTTCCTCGTGCTTTAATATTTAGTATTATTACGAGAAAATTATTATCAATTCTAATATATTACAGTGAAAACACGAATTAGTTTTAAAACTCTTGGATATGTTTATAGTTAAGTAACGGCAGTGCATTACATTAATAACGCATGAACAACCGCTGATGCTGCTCCTTAAAATTTTCAGCGTATGTTTTATCTTACTTCATTTCGATATTCCCGGCTGACATTACCAATTGCTGCTTGTATAATATATAGAGAAAAATAAAAATCATTCAGGATGAGCAAGAGAGGGATAAAAAAAAAGGGAGAAACTCGGTGGACCAAGTTAATAGCAAAGCGAATTTAATAGAGGTCAGAGTCAACAAACTTCTCCGTGTCCGTTTTCTCTCTCTCTCTCTCTCTCTCTAACTATAGCTGCGCGTACACACGCACGCACGCACGCACGCACGCACGTATATATTCGCTCTAAATTTATAGAACAACCCTCGCTTTTGCCAATGATGATTTCTTTGTTCTTCTCGCGTGCGTGCGCGCGTTCTCCTCTCTCACTCTCACTCACTCTCTCTCTCTCTCTCTCTCTCTCTCTCTATATATATATATATATATATATATATATATCGTGCAAGAAGCAGCTCGTGCGATGAGTAGCGGCAAGCAGCGGAGGCAAATAAAAAAGGAGAAAGGAATAAAGGAGCCGCGCTCACAAAGAGACACCAAGGCGCGCGTAATCTGCGCGCTTATAATGAGAGTAAACAGAGCCAGCTTATGAGCGCAATTAAAATTAGAATTTAAAAGGCCGTGGCGGTGGAGCGAGCGAGATGGGCGACGGAGGTGGATGAGGGAACACAGGGGTAGCGGTCGACCGCTAAACAGCAGCGAGGGGCGAGAGAGCGAGCGGTCGAAGGAAGGGATAGGGATCGTACGGGACGTTGGATTCGGTGATCGGGATGGGATTGGGGTTGGTGGGGGAAGCAGTGTCGTGTCTGGAGGTGGGTAAATAGTTTAATCGCTAAAGATGGTTGCCGCTGTGGCTACTAGAGAGGCTCGCGGACTTTGATAGTAACGAGCGAATATTAAGTGGTAAGCATCTATCACGCGATGCGCGTTGTACCGGTCGGGGGCGGTGAGGGGCAGAAGCCTCGAGCCAAACTGATTCTAAATAATCTCGGCGATAAGGCATTTTACGTATAGGCGGAGGCTAAACTCGCGGGGCTCGAGAGCGATCTCGATAATCGCTTCCTGCCCCCCCCCCCACCCCCTCCCCTCCCAATCCCAAGCGACATTGACGAAATGACCGTTTCAACCATGGCCCAGTGGCTAATTAATTGGTTAATCGAGGTTAAGCGAAGCCGCGAGCTCGATCGATGAAGCTCGCGCCGCAGCCCCCACGGCATTTTTATTATCCCGGCTCAAGGGACTTTCTTCTTCTTCTTCTTCTTCATCATCATCTTCTTCTTCTTCTTCTTCTTCTTCATCATCATCTTCTTCTTCTTCTTCTTCTTCTTCATCATCATCTTCTTCTTCTTCTTCTTCTTCTTCACTTCTTCTTCTTCTTCTTCTTCTTCTTCTTCTTCTTTTTCTTTTCATTTTTTGTTTTTTGTTTTGTTTTTTGTTTCAGCGGTTTCGTCGCTCGAGCATTGTTTTCGAGAGACTGGTGCATCGGACGGTGGGCCTCCGGTCTCAACTGGAAGTAGGAGGTACACGAGGCTTCCGCTTACCTCCGTTGATCCGCCTGGTTCTCGTAATTGAAGCCGCAGAGCGCATCTTGATGAGAAATTAAGCCCTAACGTATCATTACGCGATTATAAGTTATATTAAGGTATCTCTACCCTTCGGCAGGATCTTTCAATTAATTATCCGCGATGGGTCAGAATGCAAGGAGACGGTGTAAGGGAAGGTTGTTAAAATTATAAAAGTCATGTTGCCACACATCGAGCTCCTACTAATTAATTGATCGGAGAGGTCGCCGTGAGGGGACCGAGCGAGTACGGGGAGGGAGGGTGGTCGATAAGGTGTAATAACCGGCATCCGAAGAGGATCGCGTACCCATCCGGCTGGACTTGAAAATTTCTCGGCGGCTGCGGGGGCGTAGGTACGTGTGTCCCGTGCCGATATCAGTCTTATCGGGAGGCAAACAAAAGCCGCTGGAAGGGCGCCGACGCATAATAACAGCGCATTCCCGCGAGCGAATCTCCGCATTCACATGAGGGACCGACGAGCTTTCCTACTCGGCTCGTTAATTACGAGGCGCCGTCGGATGATACATACAGGGTTCGCATTTTAAAATTGACGCTCAAGCGCACGAACACTTCCGCGCGTCCCGGATGCTTTCTTAATTAGTTGGGTTTCCTCGCAGGCGCCGAGGGTTGTCCCTTGCGAGTGACCACGTAACTCCGGCCGAGGATGGGACGCGAGCCCTTGTGCCTCGGCCCGAGTCACGTTTACCAATCATGTAAATTGTGGATCGTTTAATGCTTGCGGGGAAGTTATTGGAAAATTTTGGTAACGAATATGATAATGAAACGTCTAACGAAGCCGCGAGCGTTAATGAATTCGAAGTGCCTCGGCGATTAAGAAAGAGCCGGAAAAGCTAGTTTTCAAGTATGACGATATTCCGCTTTTATCGGTATTTCTAAGCATTTTAGTGGGAAATAGTGTTGGGAGAGGGGCGATGCCACGCTGATCGATGCGAATGCCATAATTGGATAATTGTTCGTGGATTTTTATTAAAAAGATGGCAAATTGTGGTGTAATTGGGAAAATGGCTCGACGCTCCACCATTTCTTATTGCGACGAAGAGAAAAGGAAATGTTTTCTTTTCGTCCATAGGTAGGAATGCAGCTAATAGAAACCTCGGTCAAGATTGAATAATGATTCGACAAATTATTAACGAGGAAAGGTTATTAATTTGAAAGTTAACACCTGCTTAGAAATAGCCTGGTTGCTTAATGCCTTGACAAAATAATAGAGAGATAATCATGACTAATTATTTTAATATAACAAATTAATCCTTATCAAAAAACGCAGCTGTAGTGAATCATCCCCCTTCAACGTTTCTTGGTGGGATAAATGTAGCGATTACAGTCGTCGTCGTCGTCGTCATCGTCGCTGTCATCGTTTATTTTTCCGTCGTTTATCTTTACTTTATTAAACCTTAGATGTTGGAAATTTTATTACAAATTTATTTACCCTTATTAAAAGTATATAGTGTTTATTTCCCCCCCCCCCCCCAC